GTGGCCAACGGTCAAATTTTTGACCGTTGGGCCTTTTTTTTTTTTTTTTTTTAAATTTTTGGTAAAAAAACATGGACCGTTGATCTGTGATCGGACGATCCAATTTAAAAGTGAAATTTAAATTTTTTTTACCGTTGGAAATCCAACGGCCTACAAAAACTAGCCGTTGGAAATCCAACGGCTCTGAGGAGGGCCACGTAGCCCTTTGACAGACTGAGTCCACTTGCCCTGCACTGTGGGTCCCACTGCCTGCAGATGTTGTCGGCTACTCGCGATCTCCAATGCGTGTTGTGCACGCACCAAGAAACGGACCGGCCTCTGGGTCTGTCCATTTTGGGCTGGGCTCTTGACTGGCATGGGCTGGGTGCCAGTCACTTTTGCGGGCTGGAGCTCATTCACTGCGTGCCGGGCCATTTTCTTCACTTGGTGCCGGGCTGGACTTGCTCTGAGATTGGAACCTTGACTTTTATCCCTTGATTCTGATTTCCTTTGTATTAGGCAACGGTATATTTCTTTGGCCAGATTTTGTATAGCAAGGCAGCGGCTGAGGCTCCATATTACAAAAGCCAAAACTATTAAATCTATTTAAAAAGCGCGTTGGCAAGAGGCTTGTAGACTTGTAGTTCAGTTGATTAACAGATTTTTGCACATGAAGTCCAAAGTTTAAATCTCTCTTCCTTAATATCTCTTGTACCATGGTTTACCTTGCGAACCCATCATTCCTAGAGCAACAGAAGTTGGCATCAGCCCCAAAAAACATTAGAAGTAAGGATCACAAATGTGACATCCCGTCCCGGAATTATCGAAACGTGCATGTGATTTGACCGTTTTACCCCTAGTTTGTCTTGTTAGGTTATTTGGTTATTTTGTGTGTGTGTGGCATGTGTTGGACCACACCCACACCTGCACACACACTGTCTCACTTTCCCTCTTCCTCTGTCACTTTCCCTGTCTCTCTCTCTCTCCCCCCGAGTCCTTATTCTTCTTCTTCCTCTTCCTTAAACTGGTACGGACACACACACACCTACCATATTTCACACAGATCGAGGAAACCAAGGGTGTAGTTGTGATCGTGAGGTCGAGGGGAGCACTAACGTACCATTTTCAGGTAGGGACACCACCATTTTCACGTCGATTCGAGGTTTTCCGATTTATGCACTATTCATGCAAACTCATTCTTGCGTGTTTCTGTAAATTTTAAGCTTGTAGATGTCCTTGTGAGGTCCCAGGGAGCTTGGGAGTGTATCGTTGGACGGATTTGGACGTCGAAATCATGAACTGTAAGTTTAGCCGGATTTTCATATTTTTAGAAAGTTTGATTCCGTTGTTTTTAGGCTCTAAAACTAGTTCAACGTGGTAGATGAGGTTTAGGGCTTCATTTTGGTTTAAAATACGTGAAAAATGGATGAAAAATGACGGAGAATAGTGGGTTTAAACTTTCCCAGTTTTTCCGGTGGCCGGAGTCCGGCGAGGGTTGATCGGAGAAGAAGGGAGAATATTCCGTTAAGGTTTAACGGAATATTCCTAACGGCAGTGACGGCGTTAGTTAGGTTTAACGGAATATTCCGTTGGGTTAATGGAATATTCCTGACGGCGTCACGCCGTCAGTGTGCCTGGCACGTGGCCGCGCGTGGGGGCGCGTGGGTCCGTGCCTGTTTCGGCGCGTGGGAGGTCCAAAAATTATTTTAAAAATATGGGTGTGATCGTGAGGTTGTGTAGATCACGTTGGTATATTCATTTGTCCATTTTGAGCAATGTATGAGAAGTTATTTTGAACGGACGGTTATGTGCTTTAAAGTTAACGTTTTTATAGTTAATTCGCATATAGGTGACACGTATCCCGAGGACGAGCGTGCACACTAGAGGCAGGGGGGCTACGACCCTTCCACATACCAGTGAGTGGGCTTTTGTTTTCCGTATATACCTATATACATATTATTTCCCAGAAATTAGTATAAATGCTTCGTTTTATGCCATTCTTTTTATATGATTGATGGTTATGCAGGATTAGTGGCATATACGTTTAATTATATATTCGATTATGCATATGTCATATATATATTTGTTGGTGCTGTGGAGGCATAGGTAAGTGCCAGGTAAACGTTATTTAACGATTGCATTAAATAGCGGTTAGAGATGCTTAGAGAGCTCATAACATGCACCCCCGGTGTTAGTGCTCCCGCCCAGAGTAGGGCACAGTCCTTCACATGTTGTTCACCTCCCGCACCACACGCTCAGCTTGAATCCAAGTTAGGTGCATAGTCCTGTCGTACAGACCACTATCGGTGGTTCCGACTCGTAGGTGACCCGCGATTATTCGCACAGCCTTCACGTGATCGTAGCACTAGAGCGTTCATATGTATTACACCCAAGCCTGTCGTACAGACCACTATAGGTGGTTCCGACTCGTGGGCAGGTTTAGTGATTTAGTTGAGATTTGAGCTCTAGATTCAGCCGTACAGGTCACATAGGGGACTCCGGCTGCCAGTTTATTATGCTATTGATGTGATTTATACCTGAGCACATGCATGATATTATAAGGTTTTGTGATGGCATACTTGTGAGCATGATTGGCATACCCTTGAGCATGACTTGGCATATCTACGTATATGTGTTTATTTTCTGGGAAGTATACAGGTTTTACGGCGAGGGGTTAGAATGTATTTTATGAATTGGTTTTCAAAGAATTTGTTTTTGCCCACTCACGCTTTTGTTTTGCGCCCTTCCAGGTTCTAGTAGCTTAGCGGGTTTGGTGGTTTTCTCGGAGGACGTCCCGGCATTCTGACAGACACTCACCTATGTAGGGTCACCTTCGGGTGCACTATTGTTGTATCGTTTCTTTTGGACTGCTGTAGGCTTCAAGCTCTGAATTCAGCGTCTTACTTTCGCTAGCACATACTTCATCACATTATATTTGCTAGTTTTAAATTATTCGTACTTTTATATTACTGTTTTTAGCTTCCGCACTGTGCACATGGCTACGTCACTTCCACGTGACGGCCAGCATGCCCTGATCTTGGTTGGGGTGTGTCAACAAATCCTGCCTGGATATTTTCAACTTCAGCAACAAGTCAGATGAGCCCGAATGTGTTCGGATTTACCCATTTATACCCATGTCGTGTCCATCTTAACATGTTGATAGATCAACATGCAAAGCGACATAAAATAGTCATATAATAATACAATAATTTATGCAAGTGGTGGAATCACTTGGTGATTAGAACTTTCCTATTCAACTCATTGCATGTAATATCCATATTGTACATGAGAAAATTGAAAATCGTTATAATTTCATTGAATAATATTATTGATAGTATTAATTGTGTTCCAGTAATGTACACATAGAGTCATATACTCGTACGAATTTCAAATCATATAATATGTTGTATTCATAATGTCATATATCCATAACTAGACATCATGTGATGCTACGATACCTATGGTTAATGATATCAAAATATGTGCAAGCGTACCTGTTTGGGCCCAAAATAATATTGTTGGGCCGAGCAGCAGGATGTGCTCGGCCCAAGGCTATGCCAAATACTATGGGCCGAATGATAAATCCCGGGCCAATTGGCAGGGTCGGTCAAGTCCTATCCTAAGTTGTTCGGATAAATAGAAAAGGTCGAGGAAGTCCTGGTGCGACCAGGATTCCCGACCGGCAAAGAATAAAGCCTCGAAAAGAGGGAAAGTTCAGAATCCCGGCGGGACTAGGTTTGTTCGAGTTAGAGTTGAAACGGGACAAGGACTCCCAATCCAGATCAGGATGCAAATCGGTCTCAAGGAATGGGGTGCTATAAATACAAGAAATCATGCAACAGAAAAGGAGCTTCAATCCAGCATACAATTGTCCTGCGCAAAACCTCTCAAATACCTTGAGATTTTTTTCCTTTTCTTTTTCTGCCGACATACCTTCAGTTTGGATAAACAGCACTGTGGAGGCACCCCGGCAAGCACCTTCAGTTTGGATAAACAGCACTGCTGCCGCAGAATCAGTCGACCGAGAAGCACCTTCAGTTTAGATAAACAGCACTGCGTCGAAGCCGACCGATTAACTATCTAAGTCTCGGCCGAGGAGGGTTTTTGGATCCTTGTTGGTAGAGGTCACCTTGCTAGCCTTCTCGGCATAGTCAGGTGTTACGAATTGTGTTACTCGGCGTACTGGACGCCGAGTGATTTTATGATTGGATACTCGCAAGTAAGTTTCAGGGTTCGGCATTCCGACGGCCGAACTACATTTACCATCAAGACATACATCACATTTGAGTACCTGTGCCCATATAGTTTGGTCTCGATTCGACGTGCTTATACTCTCACGAATATAATCACAGTGACTGAATCGAGCGCCGACGATTTGTGAACTCCGCAGAGTTAGTAGCCTTGTCTTTAGGCTATAGAACCCAGAGACCGAGAGTGTTCCTTCCTCGGCCGCAATCGCAAGATAAAGAAGTCACCGACGCGCTCAACGCGACATCAACAAACTTTACTCCTCGGCCAAGCTCGGTCGACGAGTTGGCACGCCCCGCATTCAACCGAATGACGTAGTTAGCTTATTAGTTACTCGGCCTGCGCACCACGTAGGTTTTGTAATTTTTAGAGTCAACAGTACCATATGACATTGTACGATTAAAAAATGTTACAATCACAATATAAAACTCATTCGAGAGAGTTTGGTGGTCTTAAAAAGGGTTATGGTGGGGGGTTTCCTTAGGAATAAAAAAGACATATAGAATCAAATTCATATTCATACTAACAGAAGAGTGGATCCAATACCAGAAAAACGACTTCCTTCTCAAACGAAGAAGCTTATAGGAGAAGCTGCTACAAGCCATACTAAAGTGACTGAAATGAAAATAGGCAGATGTCCAAGGGCATCACTGCAAGAGTAAAGGCAACGGGTAGAATTTCCCGCACGTGGCAAGACATAGAAGGACGTGTCGGCAAGTCCGCGGAACACCTCAATTTCTCGAAATTGATCCTTTTACATTTTGGTGTTAGGGAAAGGAAACAGCCCTTCAACAATGTCGGCCACGTCTGTGACGTATGCGAGTGCGACGGTCTTCACCTAATCCCCGCGTTTCTGGGAAATGATAAACTCGCATTAACGTTGCTCCACGTGTTTCTCGCAGTCTCTCTTCCCTTTCGTTAAAACCCCCTCTCTCCCTAAAACCCCCACGTCACAGCCGCAGAGTCTCAGCGACCAAAGAAACCACAAACCGCCACCATGACGGCCACTTTCCGCCGGAGCACCATCCTCACCCGCCTGTTACACAAGAACTCTATCACCGACCCGATTGCGGCCCCGACACTGCTCCAAACCCAAACCCAAACCCAGACCCCCTCCAGAGCCTACCTCCGCTTCCCTCAAGTCTTCCGCAAAGCCAGAGACTACGACCTCTCCCCCTCCGTCTTCTCCTCCGCCTTCTCCTCCTCCAAGTCCTCCGTCGAAGCGCCGTCGGCTTCCAAGTTCGGGTTCGTGGGATGGTACCTGGGTATGATCCAGTGCCGCCCCATTTTGACCAAGAGTGTGACCGCGGCGCTCATTTACACCGCCGCCGATTTGTCCTCCCAGGTGGGTCGAACTGTAATTATATCGTCACTTTTGGGCATTTTGTAGTTACCCACTTGGTCAATTGGCTCTGGTTGTATCTAATGAAGTAATGATCTTTATCAGACATTAGCAAAATCATCCTTTTCCGAATCTTATGATCTTGTAAGGACAGCGCGCATGGCTGGCTATGGGATGCTGGTTTTGGGTCCGTCGCTGCATTTCTGGTTCAATTTCATGTCGAAAGCTTTACCGAAACGAGATGTGTTTTCGACATTGAAGAAAATGGCAATGGGGCAGCTGCTTTACGGACCTACAATGACGTGTGTTTTCTTCTCCTTGAATGCATGTCTACAAGGTATTCTTAATGACACATTGTTTACGATGAATGATGCTTGTATGTTCGATTTTGTCGAAATTTTGTATTTTGCTATTGTTTATGATGAATGATGTATAGTGTGTCAAATTTTTTTGTTATAATTTTGTTTGGGGAAGTTGTGAATTCACCAGGCACATTTTGAAGGTTCCCGTGTTGAATTAGGCGGAAATTAGGCTGGTTTGTCAATGTTTGTATATTAGGTTGCTTTAGATTTTGTTCGGTGACAAAATCGTGATTGAACCTGCTACGCTTCATAGTGGCAAGTCCCTTTGGTAATTGGCTCTCCGGTTCATATACTTGAGTATCACTTTGACGAAGAGTTCATCACAAGATGCCGAAACCGAAAGTACCGAACTTTTGTAAATATGTTGTACAAGTCCGGTAGTTCACCACAAAAAATGCTCTAGATGGATTGAGTTTCAATCTTAGAGATTTTCGACATTTGTATTGAACTTCTGGGACTCAACCCGTTTGTAGGCAAGACTTTGATGCATAATGAATAACTGTATAAACACATCTCTGTGTTAATTGATTCTTCAAGGAAAACATTTACTGCTGCATAAGAAATTTACCTGTTGTGAATTTTGAAAAATAGAGCGAACTTGCGTGTGCAGAGAGATGTGTGGATACTATATGGTGCTTCATATTAATTTCGTATGGTCTAACTAGTTATAGTTACCATGATTGCCAATTCCAGGTGAAAATGGTGAAGAAATTGTTGCCCGCCTACGGCGAGACTTGTTCCCTACATTGTTAAACGGTGTTATGTACTGGCCAGTATGTGATTTTATCACATTCCGATTCATTCCTGTCCATTTACAGGTATGTGGAAGGCTCTCTTTTATCTTGGTTTTTCTCAGTTTTATTTTGGATTTTGTAATTACGTGAAATTGGGATTGCTTGGGCTACTGAGTTTTGACAAAACACGGGTTAAGAGCCTAAAGTTTGGCTCTTGACAAGCGTAGGAAATTTCCGACTTGATCAGTTCACCTGCATATTTCACACGATCTGGAAACTAACTTGTTAACTTTGTTTTTGACGCTCTCATTTTGAACAGCCATTAGTGAGCAACGGATTTTCGTATCTGTGGACCATTTACATGACGTACATGGCAGGCTTGGAGAAAGCTGGCACAACGTCCTAGCTGATTGACTGTAGGCGCGTATTCTTTTTACTAGTCTCGTCTTTAAGATTTAGACGTGTCTCAACAACCCAGCTTGGAAGTTGCTCGTGATGCCCTTGCACGGTGAACCTTACGGATGCCTTGGCAGAAACGCTAGCATGACATCCACAGCCGAACTATGGTTGAAGCACAGGCTATGAATCTCGCTCTCATTGCGAATTTTACGAATTCGATTCATTGGTAATTACATTCAGATCATGTCTTTTTACCATTCGTGTAAAACATTCAGACATTATGTATTTATGCCGTTGGGACAACTTTGAGGCTTTTGTATAAAGCAATAGGTTGATGTTGTTTAAGACACCGGAAGTATCAGTTACAAGTTAGTTTGATCGGATACAAGCGCCTTTACATTGTTTTTCACAACTGACTGAGGAAGGATTCTTTCTTCTCTTTTTTCCTTCCCTGCCCTCCCCTCTTATTTGAATAGTTAAGATTTTGTGTTGACTTCTTTATAGAGAGAGAAGGACGAAGTGGAGATTGTGAGAGGAGAGGAGGGAAGGGGATGGAGATAGGAGGGGAGAGAATCCTAGTCTTGACCGTGGAAAGGATCTAGGGCAAGCAGTTCAAGGTTTTCAGAACAGGTTGACAGAATAAATTGTACTGTTCAAGGAGGAAACTCAACAAAATAAAAAATTCAGGGAGCAAATCGACAATGGGATACTAGTTTAGACGAGAAATTGAAAAATTATCTTAATTACTGCTACCGTCAACTTGGCTATGAATTATTTTAAACCAAGGCAGAACTTGCAAGAGATGTAATTTTACAGTCCACATAAAAATCTTTAGAACAATTACAACAGTAAAACGCCAACAATGAAATCGCTGACACTCCAGAAAATTTACACCAATGGTCTGGTTCATTAGGGTTGTCTTCAAATTTGAACTGATCGACGGCCATTGACAACAGTTACGCGCACATACAGAAGTGGAATGACCACCGGACATTGTATTAGTCGTCAGGGGCTAACTCGATACACATAAGATTCAGATAGTAGATGGATGCTCACCGGTATTTTTCGTCGGAAAGGTATTTGCATAGATCAGATCAATCATCCCTTCGAAGGGAAAGGTCCTCTAATCTGAGCTGGGAAGCATGTTTTACATACAAGGCAACGAATAATGAGCTCACAGTGATGTTACAGCTTACTTTGAACAATTTAGACGATTAACATTTCATAATCTCACCTGGAACAAAGCACAGAGAGCTTGCAACTGCCTTTCTATGAGCGTTTCCTCAATAAGAAGAAATTGAAGCAATCACTCAGTCAAAGCGATGCCACCGAAGAACCTTGCTAAATAAAAAGCCGAGGCACCTTATTGTTCAAGGACTGCACACCCCATTTATGTCAGCTGAGAGGAGTAATAACTATTTACCAGTGTCACCAAGCAGCAAATGGACATAGAGGCAAGAACTACGTAATCAAAGATAGAATTAACGCAAGCAAGAAAATTAAATTATGTAGTAAGTCACAGTCCAACTGCAATAATTTGAACACTGGATAATGCATTTTTCGCATAACTTGGTAACAATAAACAGGGGAGCAGAAACAATTTCCGTTGAAGGATAGTGCGAAGAATTCTTCACACCTCTGATGTCTTGCTTGTATTGAAAAGTTTACATACTATCGTATTAACATGCCCCTCCCCCCCCATAACAATTATCAAGCCTATATCGAAACGCAACATAAACCAAAACTTCTCACATAATCTACAACTTATTCCCTATTGCAATGCTTCAAAACTCCGTAAACAGGCAAAGGCTAAGAGTTGATCATGTTAAAGAACTGACTCAAAACGCTGAACGGTGAGCAAGTGAGGGTGCAATTTCATGTCTCGTGATCTCATCAATTGTTGATTATGTATAAGGTTTTGCTCACTCTTCAGATGCACGCAAGACAATCTTCTCGAGCTGTATGGGCCAATCTACACCAAGCATTTGGGGATTTAGCTCCACTGATGCAGAAAAATCTGACATGGTTGCAAAAGTAGATTTTGTTTCTCTTTGCATATGTCTTCCACGCAACATCCCATTTGACCCATCGTTGTACGGATATGAACCACTTAGTTGTTTTAAGTGATCATTGCCATGCCTTGTCCCGGCTAGCCGAATACAAGGTTCCATTAACCTCTTCAGATAAGCATCCAATCCATTATTCAAGAGGTTAACACAGTCTATAGAGACATTAATACCCTCCTTCTCCAACTTCCGCTCCAAACGATTTCTTAAGGATCTTGTATCAGGCAGCTCACCACTGTTTTGACAGGTCACAGGGTGGTAAGCACCACTTACTGATACATTAGGAAGAGATTTACGCGATCCACCCAAATATATACCGAGTGGAGCAGTTACTGGGCTTCTACTTTGAATAGCTGGGCTTCCTGCATCCTGTTCGACCTCTTCTCCATCTTCTACAGAGGCAACTTCAACAGGCGGCCTGCTTCCAAGAGAAAGCAATTCAGTAGCACTTTGCTGCTCTTGTGCTTTTGAAAAATGTTGGGACTTTCCATTTGGCCCCAAAGGACTTGGGCGGTCCTGAAACTTGCGTTCTCGATCGACTGGAGACAGGATCCTGTGAGGGGATGGAGAAACTGCATCTGCATTAATCGAGTGAAGACCACCCTTCTGATAACCATTTGCTACTTTAACATTAAGGGTGCGTCCCCTTTTCTGAACACCGGTCAAGGGCGGAAGTTTTGCAAGGCAGGCGTTCTGGAGGATGGATTTAATAAGCCGGTTATGAAGACAGACATTTTCCCTCCCAATAATCCGATTGCAAAACTTGTCGAATTCGCACTTGCTAATCTTTGAACTAAACAATCTTCTGATCAGATCAAAGTATTTATCAGCTCTCTGATGCCCAATCTTTCGCACAATTAGAGCTTTCAGCTCCAAAGTGTCGATACGAGAAAAGCTCTGATTGAGCACCATTTTCCCCCAACTCCACTTCCCAGAATTCACCAAAACCAGATCCTCATCGAAGCCTCGAATTCTCCAGCAAAACCCAGATCACAGAAGACATGATCTTCAATCCAAAACCTAAAACCCTAATTTTCAGACAATGCTTTCACCTGTATGTTCACCAAAATTACAGCAACAGAAGCAAATTTCTCAATTTCTCAATCCAAACGAAAGAGGGTAGTCAAAGTTTGCTCAAATTACTAAAATTAGAAAGACAGAAATCATTGGGAACTAAACGTTGACCATATCAAGAGCTCACAGACACAGAGATCAAAATATCTTTCCTGAAATTCAAAAAGTAGAAGGAAAGAGTTGCGGAAGCAAAAAACGCAAAAAAATTTGACAGATTTCGGCAACAATTTACAGAAATGAAAGAAATCCAGTTGAGATTTGGGCGTGAATTGAAAGCCAATCAAGCAAATTGACCAAAGAACGATGAGAGAGAGAGAGAGAGAGGGAGAGAGAGAGAGAGAGAGAGAAGCACCTGAGTCGAAGGTGGCCGAGGTTAAATTGACCCCCTTCAGAGTTGTGTATTTTTTCCTCTCTATTTTGGTGCGTTTGGTTTGTGTGTTTAATTTGAGAGATATTTCTGTTTTTTATTTTTTAATGTTTTTTTAATTTTTTTGTGGGGATAACCATGTCTGGTCTTGTTATAACAAGGACAGACCAAACGGGGCTAATAAGTAAAGGGCTTTTGTGCGCTTTCAGAACCTTCTTATCTGAAATACACGTGCGTTTTTGTGAGTTTGGGAAACTCGGGTGTGAAGACTTGTTAATGGCGTGTTTGATTGCGTTCATTTTTTGATTTGGTAATAAGTTGCTAACCGGCTCGCCGACAGCAGCGGCACGTCCACGGGCGACCAACCGGGCCATGGCGGCGGTGACCGTCCACACAGCAGACCACATACCTACTTTTAAGGTTATTCAACGTCTCGAATCACGTGATGTATTCTGTTTTAACTAATTTGAGGTCGTTTATCACGTTTGAATTAGAAAACTTTAAAATTTACTAAGATGAGTACTGAAGGAATCTTTTTTAGGTGTAAGCTTGAGTAACCTAGATAAAAATCAAGACGTCTATTGAAGAGACACGCTCAAAATTTCTATGAACGGATCCCTTCAAACTATTTTTCATTAAATTTTTTTATAAAACTTAATTGTTTTATTGTAGTCATGGATGAGGCTAAGATAGTGAATGGTTAGATGACCATTTAATTGATTTATTTATTGTTGGCAACTTATTTTAACTACATGGTCTCTTATATATCAAGTATAGCTATTTGTGGCTGTAGGATATTTGCAAGTGATTATATAGCTCTAGTATGGGCTAGATGCACTTGCATGCTGTACTTATACCTTGATGATAGTATTATGTATTGAATTGCTTAATTATGATTTTTGATTGATTACTGGATGTGATTTTCTTAGCTATATATTGTAGTAGATACTTATCTAGACCACTCAATGAAATCGGTTATATGCTAAATTTAGCAAATGTCAGCTCTGGTTCAATCAAATTAGTTTCTTGCTGTTGGAGTTGTGCTCTAAAAGCCAATTTCGTAATATTGGATATTATGTAACAACTCCATATTAAGTAATTAATAAAAGGGTTGTTTAGATATAGACCCTTACAACTCTTATTTTCTAGACAAAAACCCACCTAGTTATAAACATGTAAACAAAACCCAAATTTAAAAATGACTACCAAGTATAGAAGTAATTGACCTATTATTACAAAATATTTACAATTTGTACCACAATATTCAAAATAAAATCAATAAATGTTATTACTCACCTTAATTACAATAAAAAATACAATTATTGCACATATTATTACCCCTAACACACACATATATACTTCAAATGTATATATTACTACCATAAGCTTAATATATATATATATATATATATATATATATATATGTACACATATATAGTTTACCTATATGAACGTATAGTATTAGTATTATATATATATATATATATATATATATATACACACACGCGCACACACACACATATACATGCATAGTACTACATATATGATCAAACATATTAAACTAATTAATCTACCTATATTTAAATTTATGATGAGCAAATAACATATATTTTGTAGGTAATTTATTTTTCATGTATTATACATATATTTGGCACATTTTATTGTTATAAGATATATGTACAAATAATAGGTAAATTAATCTTGAATAAAATACAATTGCTTTATTTTGCAAGAAAATTAATTTTGAATCAAATAACATTTCTTCATTATGTAGGTATGTTATTTTGTATGTATCATCATATATATTGAGCACATTTTATTATTATATGTACAAATAATAGATAAACTAGTATTGAATAAAATAATAACATTTTTTTTTATGTAGGTATATTATTCTGCATATATTTGGGTTTGCTTTTATTATGTAGGTAAATTATTTTGCATGAATTTTTATGTATATCATGCACGTTTTTTGTTGTTGTTATATATATGTGTGTGTGTGTGAAATAATTTACCTACATTTATATGTAAAATATAATTTTTATTGACTTAACTAAGCATGTATTACTACATTTATTAGGCATATTTTATTGTTATTATATATTATGCAATGAATTTGTTATTTTTTTAGTTTTTTAAAATCATTAATTCTCCCTTACAATTTGTATGGAATTAATTGTGTAAATAAAACATTCAAATAGGGGTGTTTTGGGCATTGAAAATTTTTAAATGTGTAAAGTCAAATATAATTAATGAATTTGTTGATGTGGAATCTAATCAATGGGTTTTATTCCAGTAAAAAACTTATGTCGGGTTTTATGTGGAGAAAAATAAGTTTCATGGACTCAAGTCATATTTTCAGTTAATAAAAGGGCAAGTTTTATTCATTCATGGGTTTGGCTTTATATTATAGTGATAATATGCTACGAATGAGTCCATTGGATTTAAGGTATGGAAGCAATGTCCTGAATGATGTTAGGGCATGGAGATTTGTATTCCATAGTTACTTAGTCTTTAAATAAAATTCCTAGCAATTTGAAAGTCAACTGGACATTGACTTTGGAAAGGCCGGTATATAACGCATTAAGGTTAGTATGGTCCTGTGCTACCAAGGTTCTAAAAGACACTAGGCGCTAATCGGGCGGCGGACTGGGGCCTAATCCCGTCTAGTCGTCTAGACGGACTAGGTAGATTTAAGTAAATTTATTATATATTGTATCAATAAGTGCCTATTTATACTTAAAAAATACAAAATTGTATTGGGATACATAAATTGCATAATAAAATGACATATAGATCAAAAGTTTTAGAACATATTGAAAACATTTGGAACAAGTGTATAATGAATGTTTATCCAATTATTCAACAAGTCTATTACATTTTATTGAAAAAATAAAATACAAAATGAAAGCTATCGATTTTTTGTCTAAGTGAGAGTCATGACCTAGGTGGGCTAGGCATGCACCTAGGAGGACTAGGCAGATGCTTAAGTGGGTCTAGGCACCCTATCTTCATTTTCAAATGCTTAGAGACTAATCAGTAAGGTGGCTAGACGCTTATCGCCTAGACAGGACCTAGGCGGCGCTAGCCATAGATTTTGAGAATAGCGCTTACTACGCATGTCATGATGAATATATTGGTGCGTAAATTTTCCTTGTACTGTGGCATTCCCTATAGCGGTATGTCTTGTTCTTGGATTTTTTTTATTTTTTATCTGCGTATGTTTTCAGATGCTTTGGTATTTGTCTTTACATTTTTTGATTAGATTGGCAACATTTGTGATAATTATCTTATTTGTGCATGAAACGGTAAATTATGTACCTTTTTGCGAGGAGAGTAATGAAACCCAAATGTGCATATGGGTGAAAAAAAAAAATCGTTCTGAAATTGAGTCCTTTTGAGTTTTCGGAAAGAGATTGAAAAAGGGCTCATATTTTTGATCTTGAATGATAATGTGATATTTATCATTTGGACCGCTCGTTACATAATCAAATTTGTGATTCTCATTATTCCTAAGCTATGTATTGGCTGTAAAATTCTTTAGATAACTTGTCGGCGGACTACGAAAAAAAGGTATCTGGCACTCGACCCACAATGGAAGCTCACCTGAATAGTTCTCAGGTACAAATGTGTATATACAATGTTGTAACTTATAGGTACTCTGTGGAATGAGATAAATGGAGTGAAGTTTCTTAGAGCTTGCTAATGTTTATACTTGAAATATAAAAGTCCCACATAAGGTATTTCGAGCCTTACCTGAAATATAAGTAGGTCTTACTCATGATATTTAGTTTTCTATCTTTTGTATTAGTATCCTAACAGTACTTAATAAACAAAGTTAATGAAATGATTAAAAGCGTGTTAATATTTTGGGAAGTTTCATAGTCTAATTTTCAAAAGAAAGAAAAAGAAGGAACATTATACATGTATGAGTTTGGATGTGTTTGGACTTTGGATCATATCCATTACGCAACATTTGATGCTTTCTTTTTTCTCAAACTAGTGTGTTATTTGAATTATGGCCTTTTTTTTTTCTCTCTCATGGCTCGTCAAATCGGAAAGATGTTGAACGGGAAAGAACCAATGGTTTGGAGTTTGATCCACCTTTTCTTTAATAATCAAATTTCTGAGAGTTGCAATTCTCTTAGGACTAAGAATTTGTTCTATTCATTTGAATGATTACTTTTCTATGTTTTAGTCGTAATATCAAATAAGACTTAACCAATTGACGACACATGAAACTGAGATGAAATTAAGAACCATGTATTCATTATCACAATGTTGTATTCTTATTTTTCATAACAGGCTTAGTAATGAATCAATTAAGTTCTGCCAGCTGTAAACATTGAACCATGCAAATTTATCACATTATTTTGATGCTATACATTATTTTAAGGTTCCAAAGCTACTTGAGCATGTTTGCATGATTTTGGATATGCAACTTATCCTTATATAAGTTAGTTGTTATCAGCATTGGTGATTGATGAGATTTCTGTTTTTGTGAACTATGCTAGATTGTTAATGGCCCTGAAGTTTTGGGCAAGTTTGTTGGTAAAACCGAGAAAAATGTTGGGGATCTATTTGCTGATGATGAGAATGATCAAATGGTTCATGGGAAGGGGAATATATATGTCAAGTGCACTTAGGTTGGGTTTTCAATAATTGTTAATGTCATTATGTCCTTAATTCCTTGGGAGACCAGAGTGGCTTGCATGTGGTAATCTTGATGAAATGGATGCTATTCGTAACGTATAAATATTTCTTACTCTATGCTTTTTACTAAGATTCCTTATAGACAAGAAGAGAATGGGGTTAAGTTACATTGCATGAAGAATTTGGGTCCAACGATTGCAGTAGGGGAGGATAGGATTTTGAAGAAGGGCTTGGTTGTAAATTTGTGGGATTTGTTGTAATTAACTAAAATACATGTATATTGTGGGATTGGTTGATTTTATGAAAATTTAGAATTTTTTTGTTTTGCTTCAAATTTTTATTTTTTTTAAATAGAACCTATTGGGCACGATTTGAAAACTGTGTGCATGATTGTTTGTCATCTGACATGCTTGTTAGAATTAAGGCACAAATAGGTTGTTATTTGTGCTTTCTCTAGGAGCACAAAAGCACTCTATTGTGCCTTATTACCA